AGCCGGGCGAACCGTTCCAGCCAGTCTCGCCTCCCTGAAACCCCTCTTGCTTCTGTCTCTCGCAGCCGGTGGGAAAAGCCTTCGCCATGGTGGCCAACAGGTCCAGCAACGGTCACTCCCTGGCCTCCGAATGCATCAAATCCAACGACGGTGATGAGGAGATCATCAAGGTACGGTCCCTGGCTCCCCCGCTTTGCGGCAGAGCAATCTTGTTTAGCAATTGGGGCTGGAAAAAAGGTTCTGTCTGAAGCTACCCCAGCCAAAAGCTCCTGATGGGGCGGGCGGGGGGCTCCGTAAAAAGCAGTTAAACGAAAAGGGGAAAGCCTGCGGGCAGCCGTGTCTCGGGAAGCGGTGAGATCCAGCGTCCCGATCCCTGCGGAGCTGGGCTTGCTGCTGGCATTACTGGGCTGGTGGGGGTCGGGCCGGTCTGACCCGCTGCCACCCCTCTCTCCTGGGCAGGTTTACCTCAAGGCGCGGGCTGAGGGCGGCGTGAACCACGAGGAGCACGTCAACCAGCTGAAAAGTGAAGTTCGTTACATACAAGAGGTAGTTAACGTCCACGGGGGGGGCTCTGGCTTGCCTGCTCCTGCCGGGACCCGCGGGGGCTTGTGGGCGAGGGTCCCGGGGTGCTCTGCTTCCCCTGGTGAGGGTCCCCGGGGCGTCCTGCTTCCCCCGGAGACGTCCCCTCGTGAGGGTCCCGGGGTGCCCTGCTTCCCCTGGTGACGTCCCTGGGGTTTCACGGCGGCGATGCCCACGCCGGCTGCGGCACTCAAGCCCCGGCTGAGCCCCAACCACTCGGGCAACCTGGCAGCGGGGCTGAGCTCTGCAGCTTGTTGACTTGCCCGTACAGGGCAGTAGCCTAATCAAGCGCCATAAATTAATTCAGCCTGACTAATTGCTCTGCTATATGGACTGAATTTGAAGAGAATTGCGTGATGACTTTCCCCCAAGGCTGTCCCCTGCACGCCTGGGTGCGGCACAACCGGAGCCTCTCGTTAAAAGGCAGTTTCTTTGGTATGTCTCATCTCCCAGAGTAAACTGGATGATGAGGCCCTGGGAGGATTAACCCTTGCCTCCGCTCCCGGTGGGGAGGTTATTTCTGGAGACAGATGGTTGCAAGGCACGGAGGCGGTTACATGGGTGTTCTGGCCTGGGCAGCTTGGCCTAAAAAAAAAAAAAAAAGAGAAAAAGAGGGGGGGAAAAAAAAAATTAGAATTGGGTTTGCTCTCTTGGGTGAGCTTCTGTGCTTGGGCACTGGCCCCAGGGAGCGGCGAGGGGCAGATCTAGCTAGGGTGGCCCCCAGATCTTTTATGTCATCCTCCCAGCTCCTCCGCCAAAACGCGTGGTTTTCCTCCTACAAAAGAAAACAGCCCGATCCTGCTGCCTCCTGCCTGCCCCCCGCCCTGCCCGGCTGCAGCGCTGCGGGGTGCCACTCGCCCAGACCGTACCTCGCAGCCTCTGGATGCGGCAGTTGTGCGTGGTCCTTCCCACCCCTGGGGCTCCAGCTTCAGCTCCTCTGCTCCGAGCTTTCCCGTAGCTCCCCATGGCTCGGATGGAAACAGGAGTCGGGTGCTAAAAGGGCCTGGTAGCCACACGGAGCGGGGCTTGGAGCTTGTCCGGCCGCCAAGGCTGTAGGTAGCCCTGCCGGGATAGCTGAATTGTAGAATCATAGAATTGTCTAGGTTGGAAAAGACCTTTAAGATCATCAAGTCCAACCGAAGCGGCATAACCGTGCAGTACGACTTAATCCTGCACGTGAAAACCAGAGAAAAAGCCAAACCAGTAAGTCACGGTGGCGGTACCAGTCTGTCCGCGTCCAGGGGAAGTGCCCTGCGCTGGGCCGTGGGGTCAAAACCCGGGGGGGGGCCTCGATCCAGCTGGATCAGAGTCAGGGATCGCCATCCCCGGGTTAAGGGTCTTGTCCCTCCTTCTGCCGCTGCCCGGTCTCCGGCAAACTGCTTCGCCCCAGTGCCTTGGGCACCTTAAGTTGAGGGGTAGGGACGAAGCCACGCCGTTAATGCTCCGAGAAGGCTTTCCTTCGGAAGGCGTTGGGGCGGCGTTTGCCATAAAAAGCCTTAAATCGTCCCTCTGGCTGGCTTGCTCGGCTAATTGGAGCGGCTGCGAGTCGGGACTGCACTTGCCGGCGTCCTGCAGCGGGGCAGGGAGGGAGCTGGGGAGCAGCGAGGGTCTTCTCCGCCCTTCCGAGGCGGCGTCCATGACCAATGCATGAAAAATCAGTAGCGACTCCAGATTGTTGCTGGGTTGGGTTTTTTTGGGTTTTTTTAATTTTTTATTGTTTTTCTCCCCCTGATGGTGCGGGACGGCTGCCTCGCAAGGATCGCCTCTGCTTGCAGGCAGGGCTGTAGTAAAACCCGAGGGTCAGGCTGGCGGAGGAGCCGCCGGCGGCGTTCTCGGCGCAGGGCAGCGTAGCGTTGGGTTGCTGATAGGCTGAGTGACGCGGTCTGTGCCCATCCAGCTAAATCGACTTGCCTTTGCCAGGCTAGAAGTTCTTTGAAGAAGCTGCGGGAAGACTTAAGTAGTAAACTTGAGAACAGACAAGGAGATAAACAGCACGCACAGGTAACGGGAGCATTTCTCGGGCATGGAATGGCATTGACTTATTAAAAAGATGTCATCTTCGGGTCCGGAGAACGATAGGCGGGGCCTTAAAGGTCGAGGCGCTTGTGGCGACCGAGAGCCAGGCTGGCACCGCTTGCAGGCAAAGCTCGAAACCCACCCGAGCACGGAGCGGGGTGAGCAAACGGCGCTGGCTGGCCAAGCGCACGGCTGCATGTTGGCAGGGCATAACCCCTCGGCCCCGAGTCGCTGCCGTGCCCCGGAGCGAGCTGCCTGCACGCGACGGTGCCCTCGCGCGAGCGGCCGACGCTACATCCCTTGTCCGTCTGTCCTTTGCCTTACGTAGGTCGTGCTGGAAAAGCAGAACGGGAGCTGGCTGTGCCCTGAGAGGCTGCGTGCCGATTCCTGGGAGGAGGAGGTATGGAGCTAAAGCGGGGGATTTCAGCGCCGTGGAAAGAAATACCGGGTTTAGTTTGGTGCCTTCCTCCCAGCAGGTAACCTCGGACCCGTTCAGCACGCGCTCAGGAGCTCCTGCGGCAAACTGGGCTTCTCTTCAGGGCCAGGCGCGGCGTGCGGCGCTGTTAGAGCCAGAAAAATGGGCAGAACGGGTTTTTAAACCTCTGCAGCCGAGGGCTCATTAGCGAAAGGGCTAACAGGGAGCTGAAGCTGGTGAATATTTCTCCAGCTCTTGGTCTCTCCCCTGGCTGGGGCAGATGCTCTGGGCTGGGTTTTTGGGCTGGGCTGCTGCTGCGGACCTGGCTCCCGTTGCAGGGTTTCAGGTTGCCCAAGCGCGGGTGAGGGCTGGCATCCTGCAAACAGGGCTTGGAAGGCAACCAAAGGACAGCGCGCGCGTTACCGGGAGGGCTGGAAGCTGTCGCCGGGGCGTGGGCGGTGGGGACAGGAGCGCCTGGCGTTTGCTCAAGCGGCGTGAGCCGGCTTTGTCACCGGCAGCGCTGCCCACGTCGGGGCAGAGGGCTCCTTCGGTAGCTCCCGGCTGCTCATCCTGCCCCCGTACCGTCTCCGCAGGAGGACTGCGCAGGTGAGGACGTGGAGAAGATCCGCCAGACAGCAAAGAGGCTGTTCACCAAGCTGCGGGAGGCTGAGAGGCGCCATCAGTTGGAGAAGAAAGCCTTTGAGGTGACCACGCTGCGCGCCTCTCTGCTGGGGAAGTGCGGTTTTTAGTTTATTTTGGGTTTGGTTTTCTTTTTTTCTTTTTGGAAGTCGGTGCGTGGGCAGGCGGGCTTGGGCTGCCAGAGGTGTCTGCCCTTCCCCTAGCAGAGCAGCGGGCTCGGCGCACGCTGTTAAAATACACCGGGGCACCCAGACCTGGCTGAACCCCAGCGAGCTGCCTCCCCGCTTCCCAGACAAGTCTCAAGACGTAAATGCTGTCCCAGTTAAAAAAATCACATAAAATAAAAGCGGCGGCCAGGTTGGACGGCGGCTCCCCCCGCTCTGCCGAGCCCCTCCGACTGTACCCAGGCTCGGGGGG